CAGCCAAGATCACGTATATATTTCATTTCCCTGCAAACCGTGCAATGTCGGTTACGGTTATTTACACTCCGATCAAATATATTTGATCACATATATTTTTCGTTTTTGCATCAGATAAACAACAGTTAGAATATGGTTTTGTCACGACAAAAGGAATGAAAACGACTGAGCGTTGAATGCTTCCTTCCAAAGTTATATGCTGATATTTTGTGTTTTATTTTCCGTTAATTTACAATCTCTTTCAATGAAACTTTCAGTAAATGATGTCTCAGCGCGCGGTTCCAACAACATTTTATAAAAAATACACAAAAGCATTTAATATAGAATTATATGTGCTTTCGTTTTAGGAAGAACGCAACTTCATCGAAATGCAATATTTTCATAGTTAATTATTATTTTATTAACAAACACGAATTATACAATTCTTATTGTCGACATTGAACCAAGTAAAAATAATTATTTATATTCATTTTCTTCTACATTCTGTACATATTTAATTAGCATTGTGCATTGTAATGTGATAATTTCTAGTCGAGTTCAAACTGAAATACTACTCTTAAAAAATCTGCCGATTAAATAAATCGGAACGGTAACTAAGACATCGTGTGTCTTAAAGATGTTAAAGGTCTTCACTCTTATTCAGCAGGTTGATGGATAAACTGAGTAGCTGTTTAGGCGTGCGTGGAAAATGATTCAGTGTTGTTTAATATCTTTGTATAATGTGGGAATTTTTAGATGCTCTGATATGAGTGCACAATTAACGCGACATGTTGAAGACAGAATAGGTTTGGAGTTAACATCAAATTTCCGTAATACAATTTTCTCCTTCATCTCCGCTCGCCAACTTTTCTTTTCAGTCTTCACCTTTCTCCGTGTGACTTGACGGCAGCTAAAGGAGAAATAGGCAGAGGTGATTGTGAAGTTGTCGTGTAACTCTTATAGAATTTATGAAGTTATATTTGTTCACCATTGTCGTGACTATGAGCCACTGCCAGAGCTTGTTCGTTGCGCTAAACGCAGATTCCCACGCGTCCATCTAATATTTAAATAACTTAGTTATTAACCGGGACAGATTCCTCGAGTAATGAGTATTTCATTCGCATGTAGCAAATTAAAGTTAATTTTAACGCGTCGAGTATCATTCATATTTAGGATACTTTTGTAACAATAAGGTGTGGAGACACGAACTAAGAAAGAAATTACATTAATAGATTTAAAAATTAATGGCAAAAGCTTATTAAAAGATGGCATATATTTTGAAGTTGGCATAACTTATTCAGACTAAGATTGCTCAAGCCACATGCGACTAAAGCGTTAACACATGACCTAAATAATGGAAGAAAATGGCACAGAATGAAAAATACGAAAAGTATGTCATCAAATAATATTTCCAACGGTAAGGGAAACTGTTTATAATGGATTGAAGTAACATAAGAAATAAATGAGTGCAATGGGTGTTATCAAATGAAAAAAATGTTCGAAAAAAATTTGAAATACACAAAATGGTTACCCTGGAACTAAAGTGGCTTATGGTAGAATCACAATGTGACTTTAGACTACTTAATAATTGACTAACACTAAAACCATCTGCCAATACTAAAGTGGTACTTTTAGTACTTTTGGCACCTACAACGACAAAAGACACATAGACCACTTTAGAATGTGTAGATGCTCATCTGATCAGATCAAATTTACCATAATCTGTAGTTTAGTCAAAATGTTTCATAGACCAGTCTAGTTCCAGGCCAGCCAAATATTGTGACGGAACTAAGCGAACTACTAAAAAAGTACTTCACTAGGTCAATTTCGCAGAAAGAAGAATCTAAAAAGTGACTAAATAATTTAGTATTCAAAAATATATTAACAAGAGAGAAACAAATGGTGTATTTTAAAGAAAAAAGCCTATTTAAAAGTTAAAATGGTTCTGACTGTGAGATGTGGCAAACTTTAGGTCTAAAAAGTTAAATATCAACCCATCATAAAAGACTAGGAATATATAATTTTTAAACAATTTGAAAGGAATGTCTATGGATTACTTAGAGTGGTTTGTAGAGAACTCAGCAAATGTTGGATGTGAGCCGATGTTGTGGATGCATCCAGTCGGTATCTATTTTTGGTAGGGTAAACGTATGGTAGAGTAAAAATATTTTGGCGTTATCTCTCCAAGAACCCCTGAATCAATATTTCTAAACAAGTTTGTCGAATTGTTTGTGGACATCGAGTAATATTAATGTTCGTCTGCGAACGAATTTGATAAAACATTTAATTAGTTCGTTAGGCGTAGCTCAACGCGTTGTTGATATTGTCTTATTTGACTCAGTCAGTACATAGGTTACAGCAGCGGCGTCTTTAACACTCCCGTGAGTGCGATGTTATTAAATAAAAATAATAATAATAATAATAATAATAATAATAATAGTGACTTTATCAATGTGGCGAGACTCGGGGCACAAGGCCCTTTCTTCCACCTAAGCAAGTAATACAAAATTAATGAATACTTAAATAAAATAAGAATTTTTAAGTAAACGATAATAATACGATAGACAGAAAAGACAGACGGACGGTCAGACAGGAAGCCAATCAGACAGGAAGCCAGACAGGCAGTCAGAAAGACAGGATGACAGACAGGCAAACAGTCAGACAGGCAAAGAGATGGGCAGAAAGGCGTCCGGCCGCAAAGAACGACGGACGACGTACGACGGACGGCGGGCGGCGGGCGGAGGCAGATGGACGGACGGACGGACGGACGGACGGATACCCGTTTTGAAAAATCACTTTTTCGGTATCACGGACTTTCAAAACGTATATTTCCGACAAAATATTATTTATCTGTTTTGAAAAATAAGACTTTTTTGGTAACAGAGACCTCCAAAATGTATATTTCCTAATTTTTGTAGATTTTTTATAACTTTTCTTTCAACTATGTATACGAAATAGAAAACGTCTTTGCTTATCATATTATTAATATTACTATAATAAGGGCAAAAGCTAATTTAATATTTCCAAAGCGAACGATTTAATTATTCTTTGTTTCTATTGCTGAAAATGTGACATAAATAAAATAGTGCAATGTGTAGTTATTAGCATTTCATTCATTTATTCTATTACAGATTGCGATTTGGAAAATCTTTTCGTTGTCCTTTCAAGGCAAAAAGTTGTCGATAAATCTAAAAAAAAAAAATATAATGAGAAATCCCAGTTTTCAAATCGAATTCCCATTTTTTCATTTTTTTCGAGCTCTTCTAAATTCTCGGTTTGCAAGGATTCCAGGTTCACTGGTCAGCCTGTGAATTAATTCATCCGATTTGAATAAATTTTGAAGATACCAGAGTATCGAATATACATGTCTATGGAGTCTTCGTCGATTGTGATTTGTGTCGTGATCCGCCCACGAAATGGTTTCGTTAAGGAGTATAGTATCGTTTCAAGGATATGTTTTTGTTGCAATTTTTGAAAAAATCACATCAATATTCTAGTGATACACGATATTGAAAAATATAGTAAGTTGATTTTTCGTTTTTTATCTTTGAAAATATATTACACTGCTATCTCTAGACATGATATCAGGTCTCGATGACAATTTCTTCAGTAAAACAATCACGTACACGATGTAAATGAGGAGAAATTGATGACTGTCGTTTCGAATAACATTGAACGTACGTTAAAAGGGAACAAACATTATTGATGAAATCTCATTACCGTATTTCAAAAATACTGTTTATTAATGCCAGAAAAACTGAATTTCTAAATCTGCGGATCTATTTCTGTTCGTAGTCGATTACAGTCCGTACAATAGTCGCTGGATACATTTGATAATACTGTTGCGTTGAATTTAAAAGTTCTTCCATCGAATATTAGTATACATTTTATATACCACAAATATACATACTTTTATAGAAAGAAATCGGCTCATCACCTGGTTGGATTTTGATCAATTATAAAACTATTATATTATTATAAGTAAGACATTAATGTGACATTTACGAAGTTAATTCTTTGTTGCAATTTCTGAAAATGTTAAATTAATAAAACAGTGTAAAGTGTTGGGTGATCTGGGCTGTCCGGGTGACGCCGCGTCGAAGGATGAGTTGCCAGGAAGTTGAGTTGCCAGAGTTGCCAGTTGGAAGGCAACTCAGCCTTCGACGCGGCGTCACCCGGACAGCCCAGATCACCCACATGACTCTGGTCGCGGAAGCCTACGACTTCAGTGTAAAGTGTTGTGACACTGCGTGTACCCATTAGCCACTGAGGAAGTCCGCCTCAGTAACAGACGAAACATTTGGGCACAGAATAGACCACGGCCATGCAGTCCGTAAGGTAATTTTATAAAATTGTTGTGTGATTTTTAAAATTTAATTAATTTATTTCAACCATGAATACATTTCAAACATTGTGTATTTTTCTGCTTCCGAACGGACACATTTATGCAATACGATTTAGTAATTTTCATACGTAAGAGCAACGCTTAGTTGAAACAAATTTTTGAAATCAAACATTAATACATTTTTGGCATTCTTTGGCAAGCGTGGAAGGTAACATTGAGTAAAGTTGGAGCAAAACTAACAAATTGCCATATTCGTTGAAACCGATTGATCTTCCCTATCTGTTAATGTCTCAGCTAACAATACCGTCTAAGCAAATTATGTCTTGAAACGGGACAGTCTAAATACTCGTAACGGTGAATCAATACGTAACCTTTTTATTCGCTAATATTGTAGTTTTATTATTAATCTTTTACAATAGTCTGAAATATATGTCAACATCTTCGGTAAAACAATTTCAGCCTACCTTTTGGGTATTAATGGAGCGCACAATTGAGGGATCTAAGATCATAAAACAAACGAATAAAGACAAAAAGGAAGTTTTTCATACTACAGAAGACTCACAGATGATATTTGCAACAAATACTTTACTTTGTATACCTAGTATTCACTTTGAGTCATTCGATGAGCGATTTTCCATTCAATCGTTGGGAACAGACAATCGCTATTCTGAAGTACTCACGTAGGATAGTGCTCAATCTTCTCACAGTAGGTCTGGCCGGGCTTTGCACATGATGGAGTGCGACCGGGCGGTGCAGGCAGGAAGGGGTAGTTGCGGCAGCCGCCATAGTGATCGCATTGTGGGCTGGAGTCAAGCGAAGGCAGCACGACAAAGAGGCACAGAATGGTGCCGAACACCTGCGAGAAACAACTAGTGAAAACATCTGTGGAATATCAAGGGCTATAAGTATATATAACATTTTCTGCGTTTCCGTTTCCAACACACGTCACAGATCACGACATTAAACAACTATTGAAACTAGAATGTTACGAGTAAATGTTAAATCTTCTCTCTATGAAGTGAAATATTTTTTATCATAATCTCCAGTGGTCTGGATTTCGCAGAATATTACTAGGTTATGGATATAAGAATGATTTGTGTTTAAAATGGATACTACAAAACAAAGGAACATTTTTATTGTAAGATAATTATGCTTCTACATTTCCAGAATATTTAGTGATGAATTAACCTCGTTAAAACTCTTTAACAGAGGCACCACAGGGTTATGCATAAGTAATTTTATAGAGTGGGCTGTACTAGCTTCATTAACTAGATCTGGAACAGTATAGATATAAAATTGAATTGCGATATTCGGTTAATCATTACATCAAGCTAATAAAATCTTTTTCATAATAATTTCTTAATAAAATAAATTCGTAATTTAGTTCTTATAAAATGCTAAACTGTACTATTGCACTAAGTAAATAAAGAAAAAATCTGTACTTACCAGTAGTGAAATTATTTCATATAAAAAAATAAAATTGTAGTTATGCATATTCTGATGAAGAATTCGTCCAAATGAACTCTACTGGTGCTTCAGAAAGGTACTGACTTGCTCCTACTAGTTAGTTTCCTTTCCGCTTCGGCGTCCAAAAGACTAACAGGACCTCTCGCGGTAGCCACACTTCCTCTGAAGTGCAGTGACGAGCATCTTCGCGAACATCAAATACCGACCGCATAGAACTATGTCAGGCATGTACTTTCTACATTTGCCTATAGTATTCCTTGATCCACATTTGCTGTGGGTGTTGGATCAAGTTCCCCATTTAACCACACATATTGCACCTTTCTTAAGTGAGTTTCGAACTACAACTTTACTGTCCACGTACTTTTGCTCACCTGTATCATAAGGCCGAATCGCTTGACCGTACTCATTGTAAAAGTGTTTCGGCTTTGTAAAATAATACTTTGATTAAACCAATAATATAACTGAAACTTAACTTTTTATGTATACATGGTCATTAATGTAACATTGAATCTGTGTAACTGAGTAACTCAAACACCATTCGTTTCTGTAGCATCAATGCAAATAAAGTTTCTTTTGCATTAATATCATTCAACATAAAACTAAGTAATAAACAATATTCTCAAAGTTAACTAACTCTACAACATAATATAGAATGTTATATAGCAAATAGCAATAAACGCAAAAGTTCAGTACACTTTTAAATAATATTTATACCAAGAAAATTGTGTTTTATCAAAAACCACAATATTTCACCACCCACCCACCATATTTTCACATTTTATCAATTTTTTGGCTCCCTAATGTAGAATCGAAATATGATTTTAAGAATAATATAGAAGAGTAAACCCCAACATGCAAATTATAATGGAAACATTTTGAGATGCTTGTGAAAAAAATGTTTTTTGGACGTTTATGAAAATGTGCAAAATCCTACGAATAGTTTAGGCGCTAGTATTGTTTACGGACGAACGAACTTATGGACACACGGACGGACGGGCGGGCAAACGTTCTGACGGACGGACGGAAGGACAAACGGAAGGAGCCACTTATATTACTCCGTGTATACGTATGTATACTAGAAAGTAAAAATCTGTACATAAAGCTACTTTTATACCTTGTAATTACTACATTTTCGTAACGATGCAGGATGACGAGGATTTCGGATATTCAAGACACTTGCTTACTGTAATAACTTTCACATTATATATTACTGGAAATTTATTTCATATTTTCGTTTTATTAATTCGTGAGTGTTAATTATTATATTTTTTTATATTTCGTCAAAAATATCGTTCTGTTAATAACAACAAAGCAGTTAGGATGTTCGTCAAGAGAATCAAAAGCCGTTTCAAGCTAGAGGTAATTTACTCTTTTGGTTCAATATTCTGGCAAATGAGAACAATTTGTCGAGTTTCTCACTGCGTTTGCTCAACAAAGCCATTTAACGAATTAGTTTACTATAGTTTTGAAAATAAACTCTCATATATTACATTTTTCGGTAATTATTTCTAACCTTTACCTTCTTAGAAAATAAGCGAATTCAATCGGAAATCTTCATAATAAGTGTCAGAAACGTCATCCTTTTGTTATTCAAAACTTACTGTAAATATAGGCACATCGTACAAGATACATACATATAAAATTTATGAGTTCACACTCTAATGTAAAATTAAATTGACGAATGCGATGGGCATTTTCGCTAATAGAAGCAAATGGATTCGAGCACGGAGTAGAAGCTGTAGAATTATCAAGACGTTGACTGAAGCCTTCGGCGGTCAACTGATCTGCCACCCCGTGGTAATTGATAGGGGAACCTCTAACTCCCCTCTGTCAACCCTCGCATAACTGTAATTGATCCCGCCACCACACCCCAGCGAGGGGGTACTGACAAAGCGAACCTGCGGGGGTCCCAATCCCCCCGAGTACATCGACACCTCTCGCGTAAAATAAATAATATTATCTGCATTGCGATTTATGATATGGTGGCGAATCTGAACACCGCACCGAAATATAGTACTTCCAATTACTCCTGATGTTTTACAAAATTGCTGAGTATCATCTTGCTTTTACTTCTTTCTACCTCTAATTACGTCTGAATGAATATTCTGTTCAAAGATCGTTAAATTATGTTTTAGGGAACGATTATCAACTAGGATTTGAGACTGGATACTTTTTTCTAATATTGTTGTATTTAATACTTCATTCACAGCGTTCATACGTACATTAATAATTTGTTTTGTTAGTGTAGTGATGCATCGTAACACCAGAAATACATTTTAGTCAATGCGAAAATAATGTTGAAGACATTGATGACGGATTCCAACAAGAAGTTAAAAGTGTGAGCTACATATCTACGCAATGTGGGAATAATAAATAGGTCTTTGTGGTGTATTCTTCGAATCATTCAGGTAGAATACATTGACAGGAGTATCCAGAAAGATCAACAATTCTCAAACACATTCATTAACTCCGTCATTTGTCTTATAAAAAACACTTAGGTTATGTTGCTTTTCTTAAAATTACTGTGCTTTTCATACAGGAATTTATAACATCAGTTATTCAATATTCATGAGATGCTCCTTCTAGCGGGGGATGGCTTTCATACTTTTTACATACACTGTTACCTTCAATGCTTTCTTTTGAGAATTTTCTTAAAATTATTCTTAATGATATTTTGGTCCACTGACGTAATGAACAGATGATAATTGTTATGATCACCTTTGTTGTAACACGGACGAAAGCAAACCACTAAATATATCTATGTGCATTGTTTTTTTCATAAAATCTATTAATAATACTATTAATTTATTTTAAGTATGTTGTGTGTTCCTACTCCGCGAATGAACGACATCCGTATATCATCTTTTATATCAAATATATAATTTTCTCTTGAGCCTAAAGCATCGCATACACATCAACCGAACCTTCGCTGAGAAAGAGGAGGTGCGTTTTTCCCACATGGGCCGGAAATCGTGTTGCATGATCAAAAGAAAGTGTGTTCGCGGAACGTGTGGCATAAATTAATTGTACCTACGGCGCTATACCGGTTAATGAATCGTGGCAAACAACCGAAGCATGAGGGAAACTCGACAGGGCAGTCATGGCCTACATTTCTGATTGCAACTTTCCAAAGGGACATCAATCTCTACTTGTGTCTATAGGTAATCATGTTCGCAGGGGGGTTTGCGGAAAGAAGAATGTATGTTCAATAGATCTTGAAATTCATGCTTCAGTTGTAATTACTGGGTAACATGGACTGTAGCTGATTTGTCAGTTATGTATTCCAGTGTTGCTTTTACGTCTGATGAGGAATGGTAAACAGGAAATAGTATACACAGTAGAATGATAATACGGATTAATTTGGACCGTACACCTTTTGAATTAACAAATTGGCTGCATTTTCGAAATGAACCCATTCAAGGAACGGAAAAACTTCAATGCAAAAACGTATATAACTGTATTTTTATCTGCTGGTTACGGAAGTGAAGAAGATCAATGATCAACTGAAGGAGACCAGCGTAGGAGCATTAGTTTTCTTTCTAAGAATGGGTTTCTCGTATACGAGTCAATGAGATATTTTAACGACTTGTGGTATATTTTCATTATTGATAATTGCTGCGCCAACTTCTTTATATTTTCAGGATACGTATTTTGTCTTCTAAATTGAGAAGACAGCTCGCGTTAGTGACACTTCTCAAAATTGACAAAGACAAGCACGACTTAAAATAACCAAAGGCTTCAGTAAAAGGATTTCGCTTTAGGTTCGTTTTAAAATTTATTTTGTCTTGTTTGACTATAAAAAAAGTGCTAAAATATCATTGTGAGATAATAATAAAATATGCGATCTTTAATGTATGAGAAGTAGCGAAATTACATACGTATGTATATATAAAATTTGCTCTCGTGATTTAGCCCATTGGTCGGCGTGCTCCATGACGCGATCCCTGGTTCGATTCCCGGTCGGGCAAGATTATCATGTGAGTTTTCCTCGGAATGTCCCAGTATATGTTGCTGTGACGATGAGAAAACTCACTTCTGAGATTGAGAAGATCCGAATACGGCGTAGAGATGTCTTCGTGCTAACAACACGTACCCCTTAATCCCTTGGTCGCGAGGCCCGGGCGTTGCTGGTAGGCCATGGCCCGTTCGTAGGCTGTCGCCCCAAGACTGACAGGCAGGTATATAAAATTTGACGTTGTTCGCATCAATGGTGACCAGCCAATGATACCAAACACCATCTCCACCTCTACTCTCGCGGGAGGGGAAGGGGGAGGAGGAAGATAAAAAATTGAAACCCTAGTTTTTTATTACGGAGTCGGACTTTTTGGAAAAGAATTCCTACCTTTTGTGTATAACGTTTTTTCCATTTCGTTATAAATTGCACTGTAATTGGCAAAAATAAAAATAATTAAAACACGTTCATACGTTATTTTTTCTCGATAGTATCACATAAAATAGGAAAAAAACGTGATCAATAATTTGGAAGAAGCTACTCAATGATACCAAACATAATAATTCAAACTTTTTCTAATAATGTGGATATTGCGTTCCGAGCTGATAGGCTGTAGTCTAGTGGAGGTTATACTACCGAATATTTTACCCACAACTGTGGCAAATATCTTTAGTTGCAATGTCGAAACGAGCGAAGCACTCTTCTGTATGGTTCATGGCTAAATACCGTGGCCACTGGCTCTTCAGAGTCCTCAACACGGTGGCCGGCTTGTGGAAGCTGGCAGAGCCTCACAGGAGGGTGCTCTACCGTTTCGTTCGTTGCCACATCAGCTCTTCAGATGTTTGCCGCTGTTTTAGATGAAACCTTTGGGAGCGCAAATCTCACTAGACCAAGGCCTATCAGCCCAGAAGACAATATCCATATTTACGCCGGCAGCTGCATTAAATCATAATTGCTAGTAAATTAAATATTTCTTTTATTGTTACTACTATTACTAATGATTTCTGGGAAATTGTGATCCCAAGATCTGTACAGCAAGCAATGGTGAAGGAGAATGTAGGAGCATTTTAGAATGAATCGGGATAACCGTAATAGAAAATTTGTGAACTCTATTTCCTGTCATTTTCAATGTAACTTCGCTTTCTCCACTCAAGACATCATATTGACTTGTCACACACGATTCTAATTGTATAAGTGACTTATAAATATTGTTGTTATTATTATTATCATTATTATCATTATTATTATTATTACCATTATTATTATTATACGTGTTAACAAATACATTTTTATACAAAATTCTTATTTTAAAAGGATAATAATATGAAAACTTTTGCGCAACAATGTCCAATGAAAGTTAATCAGAATTACACAAACATGGGTTTTGAGTTGTAAAGAAAAAAAAATAGAACGTAGGAAGTCCAACAACAAAATTAAGAACATATCTTCGAAACG